TATCACGTTCCTATGTATAGTGTTACTATATATCACGTTTCTATATGTAGAGTTCCTATATATCCCGTTCCTATATATAGTATTCCTTTATATCACGTTCCTATATATAGTGTTACTATATATCACGTTCCTATATGTAGAGTTCCTATATATCCCGTTCCTATAGATAGTGTTCCTTTATATCCCGTTCCTATTTATAGTGTTCCTTTATATCACGTTCCTATATATAGTGTTACTATATATCACGTTCCAATATATAGTGTTCCTATATATCACGTTCCTATATATAGTGTTCCTTTATATCACGTTCCTATATATAGTGTTACTATATATCACGTTCCTATATGTAGAGTTCCTATATATCCCGTTCCTATATATAATGTTCCTTTATATCACGTTCCTGTATATAGTGTTACTATATATCACGTTCCCATATATATAGTTACTATATTTCACGTTCTATATATAGTGTTACTATATATCACGTTCCTATATATAGTTTTCCCATATAAAGTGTTGCTGTATATAGTGTTCCTATATGTAATATTCGGATATAAAGTGTTCCTATATATAATGTTCCTATATACATGAATAAAGTCGTTTTCAAATCATACCTGGAAGCATCAGTTATGAATGTTTGGTAGAATAATGGCTAATTGGACTTATTTGAATACTTTTAAATTCCAATTAGCATTCAGGCGAGCTGAATTATCTTTTATTTGAATACAGTAATTTATTAGGCCCCCATATAATGAGTCGTACGGAAGGTATCTGAACATTTTTACGTTGAAGAATTAGATATCTACAAGAAGTTCAGTGTTTTAAAGGTAATTAATGTTGATATATATTTAGTGTCGCAGAATAGAGCTAGTATATATAGTTTCTATGAATAGCAATGGATGACGTCATCGACCGGATTGGGATTTCCCTCCCCAAGACGACGCCTTTTCCTGAGGTGAAGGTCGTTTGGCCGAATGCGTTGGCAAATCAAAAGGAAAGTGGAATTTCTCAATTTTGTATGTGTGCTGTCCCCTGGTAAGGACATTATCCAGATTTATTTATAAGGTATGAGGATTTAAATTATTTGTACTGTCGCATCAAAATATTTTTTATCTTCTATTTCAACAAGTGAAAGTGTTCTGTGATGTACTGAGACATACAATTAGCGCTAAGCGGTAAGTTAAAATATTTGACTGTGACCTCATTCTGTGATGTTTACACGTCGGTAGACATGTTTGTATCGGATTGGTTAGTTGTGTCTCAGTTTCTAGTCAGTTGACTCACATCAGTTCTAATATGAGTAAATATAACTTGTATATGTGTAGTGTGTCCAAGTTAGGCTTAAGGTGATACAAGCTATACTGCTAGTCAAGATAGTGCTATACCTGACTACTCAAGCCTTAGACAATTTAAGCCTGAATTTAAAAGTTAATGTTGATATCCCATACAAGTATGCTAAGCATAAGGCAGAGTAGATTACATGTGTTTATTTACATAAAAAGGCCTTGTATATAGATATTTGTATTTTATATGTTGATGAATTATTCTGGGTTAGCAGGCCGGTTAATCATCAGGTAAGGAAGGATACTAACTATGTAGTCATTCTCAGGTAAATAGCTGGAGACAACTACTTAAGTCATACCTGAGGAATCTCGGGGGTGTGGTCAATTATGATAACACCATATAAAGATAAACGGAAGTGACTTCTTTCCGGGTACACATAGACATCACAGGCCCAGTATATGTACAGTATGTATACACGGTGAAAACGTTGATTTGTTGTACAGGTGTTTAAAAACAGGTGAGTGATACACTGTATCCACTGACATTAACAGCCATATCATTTCAGTCATCTTATAGTCCAATATTCTATATGCCTAACCTTATAGCTCAATAACCTTACGTCGATCATATTTGATATTTTTCACATTTGAGAAGTTGACACAGAATCTCTTTGCAGTTCATCCAAACAGAGAACCATTAATTACATGTAATGGTGTGTAAATGTTCATAGTTTACAGAAACTGTAGATAGTAAGAGTTATAAATATATTAGGGATATATACATCCTGTTGAAAATAAGTAATTTGTACATGGAGGTACGGTCTATGCATCAGTATTAAGCTTTACGTTTGTGAACAACACTTGCAGGCCATTAGACCAAGGTGTTTTTGACAAGTTTTTTTTCGTCAATTATGATGTTTAGAAGATTAATAATTACTTAAAACATCCCTGTATGATACGATCAGATAGCCTAACTTTGACATATAAATGTGAAAGCAAATTTGCACTTGGCCACATACATGAGAGAATCTGTGGTCCTAGACTCAACCAAGTGTTAAACAAAGTGTAGCTGAATTGACTACAGTACATTGTTACCGTCTTGAGTATCTTTTGGACTATAGTTTGTTTACAATTTCGTCACACTATTTTCCACGTAAGTGTACATATAATTATAGTAGTCGAGAAAGTTGGTGGATTCCTTACCATCTCGTACACAACAAATATCAGTGCTATGGCACTACACAGTGGTCATTTGTCTGATGAAGGTGACCATGTAGTCATCGAAAAAACACTCTCTAATCTTCTACTGGTTGTGTTATAAGATAAAGGTGACCATGTAGTCATCGAAACATCACACTCTAACCTTCTACTGGTTGTGTTATAAGATAAAGATGACCATGTAGTCATCGAAACATCACACTCTAATCTTCTACTGGTTGTGTTATAAGATGAAGGTGACCATGTAGGTCAGTAGAGGGTTGGACTCCCAAGGGTGTGGTTTGATCCCTAACCGGAGCTAGCTTGTTTTGTACAAAGCCCAGATCACAGTTGATCCTAGGTTTCATGGTTTTATTATTATAGAGCTAGATATTTTGACTCCAATGTCTTTGCATATCATGGAGTAGGACTTGAGCGTCGTGGTCAGTGAGGTAGCCATCAGCTGCACACAAAGGCCTTGCCTCAAAATGATCCCGGCTTTTCATTTGGACAATAAATGCATTAAACACACAAACATTATCAGCTAGGTTTTGTCTTCATGGACAACCAACATATAGATACCAATGTATGATATACACTTAAACAAAACCACATTTATGAATTTATCACTTTTGTCACACGTAATTTTTTCAGTGATATTGAGTTTGGCTTGGTCTAGAAAGTATGTGATTGGATTGATCCTTGCCTAACCATATTTTAAATGGTTGGATGTCATTCAGACTATTGCAATCACCTTTCATCATGGCAGCAAGGGTACAATTCCTACATCTAATGGAAAACAGTAATATCTGATCAAGTCGTGACCACTTGTGTGATTGTCAACCAGGATTTACTTTAACTTCTTATTGGATCAGTTTTTTCGGGAACCATTTCAACGTAAAATGTTTTCCACTTTCTGTCTAAGACAAGATATTGAAAATACAGAACATATTTGTTCCATGTTAAAAAAATTGAAATATACAAAAATAAATCATAGGACAGGGTTGTAATAATGAACGTCTGTTTTGTGTATATCTAGCCTGCAGGGTTATTTGGCGTGCTGCATTGTCCCCATGATATTTAAAATACAGATATTTTGGTGTGATATACTGTAAGGAATGGAGCTTGAGTGTGTCGCTATAAATAAACCATTTGCATTCAAGTGAAAATAAGACGTATGGGGCAGATTCAATTTGATATCAACGTCTAAGGCTCTAGATCAGATTTAGCATATGTTTTGTCCCCAGATAAGTGTAGGAAAGGGACTCTGATGTCAACAATAGGATAGTTGCCAGATTGTGAAAACTTTCCATTAATGAATGAAATGGGCATAAACACGTTCTAAAATAAGTACAATGTACATATAATACAGAGATGCCAACTTTTAGTAGGTGCCTTGTCTTATATACATTTAGAGGTGTCCACTATAACAGGTACCTGTATTATAAAGAGGTGTCCACTATAACAGGTGTCCTGTATTATATAGAGGTGTCCACTATAACAGGTGTCCTGTATTATATAGAGGTGTCCACTATAACAGGTGTCCTGTATTATATAGAGGTGTCCACTATAACAGGTACCTGTATTATATAGAGGTGTCCACTATAACAGGTGTCCTGTATATAGAGATGTCAGACAGGGATTGATTGCCAGATAAATATGATATTATATATTGTTACCTGAAGTAAATAGCTTAATACTGACAATTTTATCATTTAATACACCTGAAGTGCTATCCTGCCTGTGCAATGATAGTACATGGGAAGGTCAAGCTGTTGTAGGAGAATGTGAAGATATAACACTAAAACAAAACGTTGCTGTCTTATTAGGTCACTACCGCAATCCAACACTGTAAATTTAAATAGAAAAAATGCCTTTGTCATTGTTCATTTCAGTGCTGATATGACTTCAGAAGGGAACGGCTATTGTACAATTCACTTCAGTTTAGGAAAAAATGTTCAGGATAAAAAGTGTCCTTATGCCCCAGTTATGAAATGAATACAGGTGTGAGTTGGCTTATGCAAACAGGCAGAAAGAAGGAATGCAAATTTGGTGTATGGGGGGAAAAAAACTAATATCAAATACCTTACTATGAAAATTTTATGTACATGATTCATAAAAGTTCTTCAGCTATTACAAGTGTTAAAATAAAATTCACAAGAACATTAAACTCTCTGTCCTAGCCAGCGTTAAGACATTGAAATAATAACAGAACAGACAGGTTTTGTATGTAGAGCTGTAAGAGAGATTGAATGTTTCAAGATTATTCTCTCTAAAATCATTATCAGGTAAGAAGTACACAACAACTTATGTCCATTTTTTGGTTTTAGTATTTATTTCCTAAAGATATAAATCAGTATTAGTACAAATTTGGTAATTTGTAATATGTTGGGTATTGATGTAGTCATTATCAAATAATTTCTGTTTTTATATTTTTCCAGGTTTACACCATTGATTCGTGAATTTTACAAAAACCTGACTGTGCTATAGAAGGGACAGCAGATAGTGTGCGATATAAACATGATATTCCACAGCATTCTCATCATGATTTTATCTACAGTTTTTATATTATTTGTGGTTAAAGTTACTAAAACCAACAGTTTAAATTTGGATGTTGGAAAAGCACATATATTTTCTGGACCAAAGGACAGTTTCTTTGGATATTCTGTGGCCTTTGTTAAGAATGGAGAAAATGAGAAATGGTGAGTAAAATTTATCATTCTAGTGTTGTATACCCTGGTCCTTCTGTCATGTTTTGATTTATTTAAAAATTGTAAAATTTATTATTTTACAATAAATGTGAAACTGTTTATAGATGTATAAATATTGATTACTATTGTTGAACCTTTTCAAGTCCAATTGGGATTGGAATTGGTCCCTGGTCTGATCTAGGTGAGGAATACATTAGATCTACACTACTTGACCATGCATCCACATATGTATAAAACTTAGCATTGGTGGTAGAATTGTAAGCAGACATTTAATTGCGCTTTTTAGCTTGAAGTTAACTTGACACAAAGGTCAAAATGAGCTTATGGCAAAGTGCAAAGTCGATCATCCATTAATTTATTTCCTGTAAGTCTTTATAAGTCACAAACAAACCTTGTGAATTTTGACCAATTCTGTCAGAACCATCCTTGAGGAAAGGGAAGTCCGTTTGACTTTTTGCTGTGGACTGGGTCTTAAAGGGCCTGAAGGGTTGGGCTCAAAAGGGAAAATTCAGCAAATTCTTTAAAACCTTCTTCAGTAGGAATGACTTCATTTTTTTACCAAATTAGGTCTGAGGCATACAGAAACAGAGAATGCAAATCCCTTTCCTTTTAGAATAAAAGTATTGTGACTAAATTTGGTCAGAAACATCAATAGATCAATTGGTTAACAGGATTCAGTTTTGATGGAACCAAATGTCTGAACCCCTTAGGAAAGAGAGGTAAACTTTCTGTTTGGGTTTAAAGCAATTCTAACGAAACCAAACCAGGCGAGCAATACATGCCCTAATGGCCTTTTGTTATGAAAATCACAGATATAGAACTGCATTGACATATAACATAAGATACCCTTAATTTGTGAATATCACATGTTTTGTAGTATAACAGGCTGTCTTGAGTCAGTTTCATACACCATTTAGATATAGAATACCCTGTCAATTGTGTAAACATGGATCTTCCTGTTAATGATTGGTCATTATCAGATGGCAATATCCAGCAGAGATAAGGACTTACGAGTCGAGGGCTGAAGCAACAACTGGATACAGGAAAATGTCAATCCAGCTAGGGTGCCATTCAGCTTGTCATTCTAGAATCAGCCAAGTGATGGCTGAGTCATCTCAAGTGTCCTAGTCATTGATGCTGTTTTGTGTGAAGTCATCAAACAATTAGATGTCAATATCATCATTTTCTAAGTTATTTTCACAAATTGAATGTTTTGTACATTATATTACATTGGTCACAGCAGCTTGGGGTTGTCACTCTTAAATTGCAGAATAGGTGTGGCAGTTACACATGTTGGTGTTGAAAATATCATAGTCTTTATGATGTCATCAGTATGTATGTGTAACATAAGATATCTACAATAATGCATTGATAGTCTTCTAATCTTTACAATGATCAGCTTTATAACATTAACATCAATCTGATATATTGTTGTATATTTGTTTTTATTTTACATGTAGTTTTATAATTTGATAAGCTTCTAAGTAAAAATATTTTCCTGGATTTCTATGCATATGAAATTCAGTATATGAGGAAAAATGAGCTTTAATCTTCCTTATGACATTTATCTATAAAAATCGTTTTCACTATGCACTCATCAAAACAATTATGTTTATCATATTTACTGTAATAAAACTCCTCATTTGACATACCACTAGTTTTTATATTCATAGTAGTTTGGGTTACTATAGAAAGAGTGGTTCCCAGCAAAATAGGTGACTGGGAGACTGTACCTAAACAGGTGGGGAGACTGATGATCTGTACCTAAACAGGTGGGGAGACTGGTGATCTATACCTAAACAGGTGGGGAGACTGATGATCTGTACCTAAACAGGTGGGGAGACTGATGATCTGTACCTAAACAGGTGGGGAGACTGATGATCTGTACCTAAACAGGTGGGGAGACTGATGATCTGTACCTAAACAGGTAAACAGGTGGGGAGACTGATGATCTGTACCTAAACAGGTGGGGAGACTGATGATCTGTACCTAAACAGGTGGGGAGACTGATGGTCTGTACCTAAACAGGTGGGGAGACTGATGATCTGTACCTAAACAGGTGGGGAGACTGATGATCTGTACCTAAACAGGTGGGGAGACTGATGATCTGTACCTAAACAGGTGGGGAGACTGATGATCTGTACCTAAACAGGTGGGGAGACTGATGATCTGTACCTAAACAGGTGGGGAGACTGATGATCTGTACCTAAACAGGTGGGGAGACTGATGATAAACTGGGGAGTACCTAAACAGGTGGGGAGACTGATGATCTGTACCTAAACAGGTGGGGAGACTGATGATCTGTACCTAAACAGGTGGGGAGGAGTACCTAAACAGGTGGGGAGACTGATGATCTGTACCTAAACAGGTGGGGAGACTGATGATCTGTACCTAAACAGGTGGGGAGACTGATGATCTGTACCTAAACAGGTGGGGAGACTGATGATCTGTACCTAAACAGGTGGGGAGACTGATGGTCTGTACCTAAACAGGTGGGGAGACTGATGGTCTGTACCTAAACAGGTGGGGAGACTGATGGTCTGTACCTAAACAGGTGGGGAGACTGATGATCTGTACCTAAACAGGTGGGGAGACTGATGATCTGTACCTAAACAGGTGGGGAGAGGAGTACCTAAACAGGTGGGGAGACTGATGATGTACCTAAACAGGTACCTACCTAAACAGGTGGGGAGACTGATGATCTGTACCTAAACAGGTGGGGAGGGAGTACCTAAACAGGTGGGGAGACTGATGATCTGTACCTAAACAGGTGGGGAGACTGATGTACCTAAACTCTGTACCTAAACAGGTGGGGAGAGATGATCTGTACCTAAACAGGTGGGGAGACTGATGATCTGTACCTAAACAGGTGGGGAGACTGATGATCTGTACCTAAACAGGTGGGGAGACTGATGATCTGTACCTAAACAGGTGGGGAGACTGATGGTCTGTACCTAAACAGGTGGGGAGACTGATGATCTGTACCTAAACAGGTGGGGAGACTGATGATCTGTACCTAAACAGGTGGGGAGACCTAATCTCACAATGGGACCAGTAGTCTGAACCTAAACATCCTGCGAGACTTACTATCCACCTTTTTATTAATGCAGTGTATGCCCCACTACTATATATCTTTATTAACACAATCTATGCACCACTGTTTTCTGTACTTGGCGTTTGCCTCTTTGACTAACATGAACATATATAAATGCTCAACAAAGTAGATAGACAGCATTAAAAAAATACAATGTCTATCTGAAGACAAAATAATAAAAAAAAGGCAGAGGTTATTCTGATAACTTGATACCAAATAAACTGATGATATCTAAATATCACATTAGATAAAACATGTTGGTATTTCTTTTTGTGAAATTATCTTATCATTTTACATTCTTTTATCCGTCTTAGCCGTTTGGTTACCCTGGTGACCACTGAGGGTGAATATCAGTTTGATCAGAATCAGAAAAAGTTACGATATATTGTAAGCTGTGATCTAGCAATGCACCTATATATTTATAGTACTTTCCCCGGTAGGTGGTGTCTGGAAATGTTCAAAGGCTGTGAGTTCTTTATCTGCTTCATACAAACCTCTGTCAGCTTAACTATTCTTCAGTTAATTTCTAAGTTAGTATACTTAAAATATGTCCGTATTCTTACATCGCAGGGTTTCTTTTATTTTCTTAGAAGACAGAAACACATTTTTTGAATTTTGAATCAAATAATGTTTTTGGTTAGTGTATTTCCTCGATATATATAACAATGTAAGTTGACTTTACTGTTGGTTTGGAACTCTTATCCTCCCATTCATCCGATAACCTGTAATTATTTCCAGTAAGTATTGTCAATTGCCCCATGAAGTATTCCAGTGTACCTGTCTCTGGTTACCACCCTCTCAAGCCAACTAGAGGATGCAGGTCGTTCCTGCTAAATACAATCCATTATATCATTTATTACAGCTATCCTATCTCTGACTGAATTTACAAATAATATACTATATTTAGCCATAGCTGGTGTACTTTTATCTTTCAAAGAATTTATACTTTTGATAAAAGGTTTGTAAAATTAGCAATTAAGCTGACAAATAGACACAAATGTACACAATACATTTTAATGGATTTATCACCCACTTGCTATTAGTCTACATTTAACCTAGGCTGGTTCTGTCTGTAACTTGATGCTTCATATTTATAGGCGTTGTTGTAACTCTGTCTGTGACAATAGATGGAGGATAAGGGGAGTAAGTAGGCAGGTAAAGGGACGACTACAGTGGATGGGGTCTTTCTGTTGAGGGTAGGAATTTTTTGTGTGGGATATCGTTTTAAGGGATGGAAACTTGCCATACAAGTCCCACCACACACACCTCTTTGCTAACTTCCGTCCAACTTCCACACAGCACCATTTAATACTTTCAAGTCATAGGTCATGCTAGAGAAGTCCAATCTGGGATACAAGACTGTGATCTCCTCATATTTTTTTGCAGACTGTTAACTCCTCAGTCATTCAATCCAGACACTCTTTTGTATGGCTGTCTAACTTATATACATGTATATCCCAGTCATAGCAGTGTGCTGGTTTAATCAATATACCAGTCTATAAAATTCCAATCTTTAAATGAAATAAAGGATTAGAAATTGTTTTGTAAGTAAAAATGATAATGGTGGATGTGTCTCGTAAATAAAAAAAAACTGTTGATCTCTTAAAGGTTTTAAGCCCTTTTCTATAACCGTCACGAAAAGTTTCCACAGATTATAACTTTGTCACTTTCATCGCCTGAAGTTATTTTCTAACTTAATGTATCAGAGTTAAATCCCCAGAAAACTTCAATTGTTCTGCTGTATTAAGAATTCGGTCTTATTGATCTTACTTCTCAGGTAGTTCACACCTGGACATGGTTGAGTGACTCTGACTAGATGTCATTGTTTCTCCTACATTACGTTACTAATTCAGAATTTTTTTATTTATGGAAGGAAAAACATACATTGGTCTACGGT